ACAGCCCTATGAATATTAGTCTTATTTCACACGCAGGCAGTTCAACGTAACTACTACGTCTCGCTTCTCAGAATGAAACAGCAGCAAAATAACTGCAAACGTTTTGGATGTACAACAATCTTGATCTATGACCTTGTTGTCCTGTCGATTTTTAGGCCGATACATCTATCAATGTGCAAAGTCAGTCGTCTATTTGGGTGCTGTCTGTGTCACACATTGTACACGCGTGCCCTTGACATGCTTGTCTATTGTAAGAGCCTGTGCTGTGTGTGTCGTGTATGTGTTACAGGGTCTTTCAATATGGCAGTCTCCTGTGGCTGGAAATCCGGGTTTGACGCTATGCCACCTCTTTGACCATGGGCCACAGGATATCCCACAATGCACCCTGAACACAACCAGCCTCTATAATCTGCCTCACTCCTCTCTGGCTTTGGCTTACAGTCCCAAATGAATCCAGCCATATAGTGCACTGCAGTCTATCTGTAATCAATGACGATACACTCCATAACACCCACCTGGATCAATGATACAGCAGTCAGTCAATACGCCAGCAGTTAACCCAGCTGATTAGGGGTAATACGGGAATTTCACATCTCCCTGTATGAAACAGTGAGCGTATATGTTGTTAGATGGCGCGTACCAGAGTACGGCATTTCCTCCTGAAAGATTCAATCTGTCAGCATGGGCTCAATTTGTGTGTTGTGATCTGTGACAGACAAATGATGCCTTTACTGGGGAATCCTGCCGTGCAATTAAATGTGCTGGGCAGAGCAGTGTTGATGGACAGACAGAGTCTATCTGTTGGTGATTGGCTTTTTAATTGAGTCCCCCCACCTGCACTGATCTCTATCATAAGCCCTTGGACCGTGTCTGGTGTTGGGGGGTTGAGCAATTGACGGAATCAAAGTGGCAGTACAGCAGCTTGATGAATTTGTGGGGGAAAAACAACGAGGTACCACATCATGATAACACCCGTATAGTTACATATCAGGATTTTAACAACAAGTGTATGTACAGCAGGAACAAGCAGACAGCAAAACAAACCATCACCATCTCAGGCTGAAGCACCTGGTTGAGTACGAGAACAGCCAGAAAGCCAAACAGACAGACTACACTGCCATATCCTAACATGACCGAATTACTGAGACTGTCCACCTGAGAGAAACAACAGCATCCATTGTTTCAGCAAATACTCTAGAACTTCCTAATGACGATACCCTCTACTGGCTGCTACTGTTTAATAATAACGTCGAGGGTCCTCGAACCTTAACAAGTAATTTCAATCTGAATTATAACCTTCCCCTAACCTAACAAGTCGTTTTTGTGCCTAAACCAAACAGAATCTGAACCATAGCGTTAAGATTGCCCTGATATTGTCCTGCCAATAGGGGTGTCAGATCAAAAAACCCGTATGAGTCGTTCTAGATCATGGACAAACAACTTTATTTCATGTTTGATTTGAAGGACTTGAATTATTGACCGAGTATAGTCCAAATGGCTCACAGTGCAAGACCATGTCCGAAAATCGCCAACAGGGTCAAGTTTTGTTTTGCCAAACATGCCAATCCAAATATTTGAAATAGATGGCTTAAAACAACTTTCTGGGAAATGGTGTGAGAAGAAAGACAGAGACGGAAATTACAAAGCTCTTTGCTGATTCAGATTGATTCATTCAATGATTCGTCGTTATTGATTCATATGTTTTTTCCCAAGGTAAACAACTGCATCATTGTTCAACTTAATTTTAATACATACATCAGTGCGTCTCGCCGCAACTTTCAGCACTGATTCAAACTGTCTTTAGTTTAGTCTGCTGATTCAGGCCGTAATGTTCGGAGCAAAGCCAGCCAATACAAGTACTGTTTATAAGGTTAAAAGCTCAGCAGGTGGTCTTTCAAAATGTGCTTTTAATGTACTGCGTGTTACGACTGAGCTGAACAATGCCTTCAGTCAGCACTGAAAGGAGCTCCAAATGACTATCATGTTTCATTAGAGTCAGTTCAATACAAACATTCAGTGCGAAAGATTTGTTCATACACATACTGAACCTGGTACTTTTTTGATTTCGTTTTCCACTACAGACAGTACCCCCTCGATATAGGTGGAAGTCTTGGCCTATTGCCTTAGGGATGCCTCGTGAAACTGCCATGACATCATCTTTGACACAACTCAATACCATATTTCAATGCCATTTGTTCCTTCACGATACCAATTCCAATTCCTGAACTTGCATATCGGCAGATGCTGCGTACCAATCTGATACCATTGTGTTAAAAAAATTGTGTACTTGCTGATACCCGATCCAGCATTTTAGGCAGTATCAGAGGTATTTCCAAACTGGTATCGGTATTGGAACAACTGTAAATGCAACGCAGCCACAGTGTGTTCACCTCACTCCAACCTCGTCATGGACTTTCCACGTCCAGATACATCGTGCAAGGTTCCCTGGGTGCGTTAGTTGTTGACGTTCTGGGACGCCTTCTAAAGTTCTGCCTATTACATGCATTGTCTTCTTCCAAGATACACTTCCGTTTTTACAGGAAATTTAACGTTTACATACAGTCTCAACAGACGCATGTGGTTGGGTTTAGGAAAACAGAACAAGGTTTGGCTTTATAATCTTACACAAACACCGCTCTCCAAGTATGTGCTTGTTGGACCCATCCGCCCACTCCACTCAGACTTTCGCCGCCTTCGCTTTTGTTCTCATTCCACCACGTTTCCCTCTGATGCCACTGGGCGCCGTTAAACTATAACTTAGGCGACCAGCCACGTATCACGCTGATGTTAAAGAACGGCTTTTATCGTCGGTGTCTGACGCTGCAAGTCACTACCCAAGCTCCGGATTTTGAGGACTTTGGAGTGAGATCAGGTTGGCTAAACCTTTAATCAGCAATCAAACAGGAGAATAGCAGTTGTCAATTGACTATGGCATGGTTTTGCAAAACCCTGATGAAGACGGTCTAGTCGAAACATTGGTACTTGAATAAAAGAAAATATTTTTGCATCGAGTGTTAGAGTGTGCGCCTGACATCTTTTTTCCCATCTGTATTTTTTCGTCAATGGTCAGCACCTCTCCAACCCTGGTGTGCGCTCCTCCTTTCTCTTCACCTGTATGGTTTTGCAAGCTGCCATTTTTAGAAGTCCCAGTTGAGTGAATAAATAAATTGAGGTCAAAATTGTGGTCGCTATCACGGTTAGCTTTGCCATTTAAACATGGCAGGTTTGTGCAGGTGATGGTTTTAGTGGTGGTTCTCTCTGACCAATCAGTCGTCTGCAGTATTTTAACTCCACCTTTTAATATTGGCTCAGCTCGCTTGGAACCTCGACTGAAGTGGTACCAAAAAAAGTACCAGTAGTATCCACAACTTAAATGGAAAATCAAAAGATAATGGTTCCAAACCAGTTGAGTCAAGCTGTATCACGTAGTGGAAAATGCGGCATAAGACACCTCCACTATCACTGAAGTTTTCTTCAGTATTTTATCATATTGTCGTGACTAGTTATTGCAAAAATAACCTGCAGAATAATTATATTATTTTTCAGATAATACCATTCTCGCTTGTCCGCTGCAGAGCTCCAACATGATTCTTCTTCGCTGTTCATGCGCAGTCGTTTCTACATGTGTGGTAATATCTGCCTGCTTATTCATGCACAGGGAGAAGGCCCCTTTGTAAATGGATTTAAGTGAGTTTAAATGGGTACTAATCTCACCCACTGAACATCCGTGAGCTGCAGGGGGTCTCATCCACACACACATGACCCAACCCCCCTCCTTTTTTTCAATTTTTTTTTTTTCAAATCTGGATGAGACCCCCACTTAAAAACGCACACAAACACACACCCTATCACACAGTTAAAGGCAAGACAGGGCCTCTCCACAACGCGGGGGTAAAGTCACAGAGGTCAGTGCTCAGTTTCCACATCAAACCCAGGAGCAGGGGCCAGAGCCTCATCCCCCTCCCACCTTCCTCCCTCCCTCTTGCTCCCGCCCTCCCCTCACACACACACACACACACCCTCCTCCTCCTCCTCCCCATTGCTGGATGTACAAATGCCTTTGCTGTCAGCTCTGCCCTGGTCCCCTGTAATTGAAAATAACAGCCAAGGGCCAGCCCCCGGCCACTCTCCCCAACCTGGTGGCTCCCTGCCTCTCTGACAGCCACCCATCAATACCAATGACTATTACCCTGGAAGTGAGAGCGCTGCCGATGACATCCAAGACACCACCCCTGCAACACTCCCACACACACACACACACACACACACACACACACGCACACACACACACCTCCCCCCCAGTGTCCTTCCTCCGCTACCCGAGCCTCCTAATGTTTAACCCGTTGCTAACAGCCTCGATTCTCTGTCTCTAAGCTGCTACAGTGGGCAATGGTAGGCAAACAAGCCTGTCTCTCTCTCTCACACACACACACACACACACACACACACACACACACAAAACTCTCTTAAGGCATGCACAAAACTCTGACAAGCAGCAAACTTTTTTCCAGAGAGAAGTGCTGAGAGAGAGTTTGGCGCTGTCTCACTTCACACTCTTAAATTCCCCCCACCAAGACACTCATCCTACAACACAGCCTCACCGCTCAGCTGATGTGTGCTGAAGTTTCTTCAGAGGTAAATAAGTGAGACATGGGAGATTTTACAACTGTGTGTGTAAAGTGTGAGTGTATAAAGTCAGGATGCTACTCATGCAAATGATCACTCAGTATATAATCACTTTTTATCCCTGTCTCTTGTCATGACAGCTTCTGACACTGGGACTAGGTGTTTCATGTCCACTCAGCAGCACCCCCCACACACTGACGCACACCAAACACAATGCCATAGGTGATCTGAGCTGTCATCTGCTTTGACAGAGAAATGACAGCTGAACGAGACGCACTGAACACAAGCACAAAGCCCAGCAACGTGACAAATGAAGCACACAGCAGCAGCAGCAGCAGCAGCAGCAGAGGAACAGGACGAAAAAATGCACAGACCTTGTCAGAAGCTGCAGAGCCGTGGAGACTGTTTTCCTTTCTACAATCCTCTCTGTCTCCTCTCCTCCTCTCCCTCTCCTCTCCTCTTCTCACTCTGCGTGTATGTATGTGTGTGTGTGTGTGTGTGTGTGTGTGTGTGTGTGACAATGTGTGTGTAAGTGAGTGAGTGTGAGTGTATGTGAGTGAGCAGCTCCCTCCCCTTCTGCCTCTCAGCTGCTCGGCTCAGGCAGTTCTCAGGAAATGAATGGGAGCGCACAGAGAACTGTTGTACTTGCAAATGACTTACCCCGAGTCACATGATCCGCTAAATGTAGGGTGGGCCAGTGGGTGGAGGCTTCATAAGCAAAGGGAAGACAATATACTCTAAGCTTTAACAGCATGCATCGAATTACACGGGGCCCCTCCGGGGAGGTTTCCGACGCGTCCGCTCTCAGCCAGCCCGAACTCCCTCTCTCCCCCCCTGCCGGAGCGCAGCGGAGAGCCCCGGGCTGGGGGTGAGCACCGGAGCACCTCCCCGTTTAAAGGGGACGGAGAGGGGAAGGTGTGCACGGGAAAGGGGGGAACAAGTCATAATTCAAAACTCGATTTTTATAAGTTTAGTTTAGTTTAGCCGTGTGATAGTTTTGATAGTTGTCAACATAATCAAATTATTTATTACAAAAAGTGTTTTAATTAAAACATTTTATAGGGTCACATATTTTAGTAGAGCTGAAACAATTTGGTGGACCAATCAGTTCAGTAGTTAAAAAAATTAATTGGGAACTATTTTGATAATCAAGCTTTGTCATCAATGTCATTTTCAAGCAGAAATGCATAAAACTGCCTGTCAAATGTGAGTCTTATTATTGTAAAATGAACATATTTGTATTTTAGACTGTTGTTAGGACGATTAATTGAGAAAATAATTGGCTGATTAATCGATCATGAAAATAATTTGCTCAGTTATCCACTTACGACACATTTTTATTTGTAGTCTAGATGAAAAATAATCTGATTTTAAAAGACCAATCTTTTAGTGATTTCAATAGGTCTTACTTTTTCATGCAACTGTGTTTAAAAATATTCATAGAAAGATTTGGGGGGGCGGGGTTGCAGTGGACACACCTCTCTCAATATTTAAAATGTGCATCAATCATGAAATAACTGGCTGATTAATCGGCAGTGAAAATAATCATTATTTGTAGCTTTAATTTTTGTGGTTCAGATTTTCGCCTATGTATGACAGAGTTAGATCTATAGATGAAAACAATGTGATTTATAAATAGTAGTTTTTCCACACACCTTTGTTTACAAATAACCATGGGCGTACATTTGGGGGGGATGCAGGGGACACACCCCCCCTCAATATTTAGAACGTGCATTTGTCCCCCACCACGTAAAAACATAAAAGTAGCAAAGGATGTTTATTTTGACAAAATTAAAGACACTTACACATAACTGTATGTGGAAAAGGCGCAATTTATTGTACAAAAATTCACCAGAAAGCAAGAAATTAAGTGTTTGATGCCCATAATTTTCTGGCGGTGGAACCCCAAACCCTCCATTTCATATGTGTCCCCCCACAATATTAAAACAATGGCAATTAAGAGATAATGAAAATAATTGTTAGTTGCCACCTTAATTTCATCGTGCGGTTATTCACCTACGAGCAATTTTTATTTGCAGATAAACTATAAATTATTTTTGAATAATTTTAAAAGACCAATGTTTTAGCTATTTGAATATCTCCTACACCTGTGTTTAAAAACATTTATAAGCATAGATTTTGGGGTGGAGGGCGCAGGGGACACGCCCCCCTCAACATTTAGAACATGTCCATTAAATGTAATATGAATTGCTTTAATTATTGTGGTTCAGATTTTCACCTATACCTACCTAAAATTCACCAGAAAGCAAGAAATTAAGTGTTTGATGCTCATAATTTGCTGGCGGAGGACCCTCAAATTCAATATGTGTATGTCCCAAATGCTAAAACAAAACCTTTGCCTTTGAGTCGTGTTGTAAACTGAACATATTTGTATTTTACACAGTTGTTAGTAAAAAAAAAAAACAATATATTGACGTCACATTTGGAAATTGTGATGCATACTTTCACTGTTTTCTGATGTTTAATAGAGCAAAAGACAAATCGAGAAAATAATTGGCTGACTAATTGATGATGAAAATACACATTTCACCCTGGTATGAGAGATTTTGATTGGTAGATAAAAAATAATGGGATTTTAAAAGATGTATCTTTTAAACAGTGTAGGTCTAGTACTTGTTCTAACACTAGTGTTAACAAACATGACAGCTGTAGTAAGCTTTATTGACAGCATTAACAGAAATCAGTAAATAATGCTATACTTTTTATTTCAAAAGTGTAAAACAAAAAAAAAAAAAACCCATATAAAAACAAAACAAGATGCAATAAAATGACATGAGCGACAACTGTAGAAAACAAACTCAAAGAATAACTTCTCATTAACAACTCAAATTAAATCTTACATGTTCAAAAAGGAGCAGGAGGAAGTACTAAACCTTATCTAATTTACATATATATATATATATACATATATATATATACACACACACAAGCAAACAAATTCTATGTACAACCCAAATATTACACTGGGTCAATAATTGATATATACATGTATATTAGGGTGGAAACCAAATTGTTATTATTTTTGTTATCAATTAATAAAGTATTTTATTGAATATCAGTATCAGGTATTCTTTTAACTGATTAATCGTGTGTTGTGCAATGCAAATATTTACATTTGAGAAGCTGGAACTAGTGAATTATTGGTATTTTTGCTAAACAGAAAAGACTGAAACAATAAAATGATCATTAATATGGTTGCAGATTCATTTTTTGCTGATGGACCAATCACTTCATCGCATAATAATTTCTGCCCTAACTGACTAAACTCCAAAATTCTCACCAGATATTTTCATGTATAAGTTTGCATAAATAAAGAGGTCCTATTTCCCTCCTCTCAGTTGGATTTTAGTTTCTGCTCTGACAGTAAAATGCCACATCTCAGCCTGCTGTTTAAATGACCAGCCTTGGATAACATGCTGGAACATTTCCCAATAATGACTGCTTTTAAAATCTCTTTTGTGTCGTGCCTGAGCCACTGTACCCATGTCAGCGCTCCTCCCGGTGTTCTCCGGCTTGATGAAAGGTATCTCTGTGGTATGAGGGGCTGATGCTGATGCTGCTCAGCGCCCACAGCCAGTCCCCTGGGAGCTCTAATTAAGGTAAAGGAAGCAGGACTCATCTGCATGGCTGATGGAGCTCGTACCACTCTACATGGTGCTTTATCGTGGAGCTGGAGCGGCGTGATTGAGAGAGCCAGAGATGATAGAGAGAGAGGAGTGGAGGAGAAGGGAAAAAAAATACTATTTACAGTAGTAGAGTGAGCCTGGTCCAACTGCTACCCACTTAATATTCATTCTGTTTCACTTCAGATACTGTACGTCTTGTGTTTGCAATGAATGGAGGATAAAATGGTTGGGTGGAGACGAGAGGATGGAACGAAAGGGATGGAGGACGAGATTAATAAGGTTGGATAGGCAGGATAAAGGGATGGTTGGGTGAATTAAGAAGTGTATTTTGAGGCTGCCTGGATAGGAGGGGCTGTTGGTGTCCAATAAGAAGAGGGGCTGGTTGAATGAATGGATGGACAGAATAATGGAGAGGAGGGATGATCTGGCTGTGGTGTACGGTCTGACAGGATATTATTGTGGACTAGAACACCAATCAGATATAGCAGGGTGCTTAAATCTTGCTTTAATGGTGTGTTTAAGCATTTTAATAAGGAGTTTCATGGTGGCCAATGATTTTAGATCTCATTATCTAAACATTACACATTTGAATACACTACATTAATTGAGAGTTTTACTCAAGTTCCACCCCTACTTGTGTTGACTAGGCATGAAATAAGACTGTGTTTAACAATTTTCAATCTTCAGTGAAGCATTTTTGTGTGTTGTTTCCATGACACCTACCACAATAAGCACAGCCACCTACCAACCAATCACACCGTTGAGAACAGCTCTCTGAGTGGAAAAAAAATGGCCAAATTGAATTGGACTTGCACAAAACCGAACTGCTGTTGAACACACCACTAAATGACCACTGCAATTTTTGTTTGTTTTGGTGAGAGTGTTGCAAGAGTCGCAAAACAAATTCTTTCATAACAAGATGATGCTCAGTTTTTTTTTCTCTTCTTCTTAGAAACGACCAAGAAGTGCTTCCAATACATTTTACTGCTGAATGATGATTCTTCTCTTGATATATGACACCATCAAAAAAAGGGTTCTTTTATTCTGGATTGCCTGCAGCCAAAAAAAATCCTTATCACAAGATGGATATCCACACATACCCTATCTAGTAATGAATGAATATCTTCCTTTCATAATGCACTAGTCTTGGAATTATCAATTGCATCTGCAAACATTGCTAAAGGAGAGACGTTAGAGGCCATTAAAAGAGCAGCTGAACAGTGATGTCCTTTATGTGAAAATATAATTGGAGATCTGCATATTTTAAAGTGTGAGAGGGCCAGTAGTAGGGGGTGAACGTATATGTTTGTGCACAATTATGATATGTCATATTAATGTTTGTATGAATAGATCAGGAGTCAGCAATCTTTACTATCAAAAGAGCCATTTTTGGTCTGGTCATGGACTTTCCACGTCCACATACAACGTGAAAGGTACCCTGGGTGTGTTGGTTGTTGATGTTCTGGGAAGCCGTATCAAGTTCAGCCTGTTACATGCATTGTCTACTTTCAAAATACACTTTTGTTTGAACAGGAAATTTAACGTTTACATACAGTCTCTTTCAAAATAAATGCACTGTGTGAGTACAACACCACGAATTGACATTTTTTTCCCTCCAACAACTAACAGAAGTGGTTGGGTTTAGGAAAAAAGAACAGGGTCTGGCTTTAGAATCTTATAGGACACGAACGCTGCACTCCCGATAGAAAGTTGGTGTTTGTTGGACCCATCCACCACCGCTCCTGCCCACCCTTTCGCCACCTTAACTACCCCTGGAATAGGTTAACTGCTACGACTGCAAACAAACAACATTAACTGTAATATAGTAAAAAGATTAGGGGGTAGGAGTTGGCAAGGAAATGGTTCCAATCCCCCGTCTTTTCTTTTGTCTATGTTTGTATAATCATACCAAAACCAACTCAAATACCGATGCTTGGTCAGTGGCCCTCAGCGTCAAATACTGACGCTCTGGAGCACCCTTTAC